TTTCCCTGGTGTGAATAATCTGCAACAATGCATAAGATTCTAATAAGATTACTGACATTTAGAAATGGGAAGAAAGGAGCTAAAGGTGTAGGGAAGGTGGGATGGATAGGGGAAGAGTAAAAAGGGAAAAGAAAAAAATGTGAGAGGATGAAAATAAAGTGTTTGTAGATGGGGAGGGGAGGAGGGGGTGAAGGGAGGGCAGAGGTAAGGGGAAAAAATGAGAAGCAAGACTTGTCATGTAGAGGTACATGATCCCAACAATGAATGCAACTGTGCTGTATCCCTAAAATGTACCAATAAACTCAGTTAAAGCTGAAAAAAATTTCTATGCTATAATTATCCACCCACAGTTAATCAGACAATAATCCACATTATCTTGGGCTATTTATGCCCCTCATTTTTTCCCCTCTTCAAAATATCTCAGTAGAGACTTTCTAACACGGCCAATTAGAGAAGGAAATGCAATGAAAAAGCTGAGAGATCAGATATCCAGTAACGTAGGTATTTGAGACGGGAAGCCGCTATACCCAGATGCAGAAAATTAACCTGAAAGAGGAATTTTTTATATTGAACCAATATCTGGATTGTTGAAAATGGGAAGTGATCTGCACATCCACTCACACCTTTAGCCGTTGGACGTGCCATCTTGGGAGTGGTTGGAACAGTCTGTTGAAAGGTGACAGCACTGCAGAGGCCAGACTTCCAGCCTCCCTACCTACTGTCTCTCCCACCTGGAGGAGGAAACCATGCATGGAAAGAGAAAGCCAGCAACACAAAATCAGACAATGCCCCCATCATCTTCCCAACACCAGGTAACACTGTGTCCCTGAAACATCCCACCCACTACCCACCACCCAGTGTCAGCAAAGGAAGCCCCTACACACCCTAGGCCAAGAGAGGATATTCATGTGGCACCAACTCAGAAGCAAAAGAAAGAAATAAAAGATATATATAACATAGATGACCCAAATAATTCAACCTAAAGACTCCTAGAGCTAATAAATTTAGCAAGTTACTAGGACACAAAATCAGCACAGAAAAATTAATAGTGTTTCTGTACACCAATAGTGAAAGAATTGGGAAAACAATGCCATTCACAATAGCTTTAAGAAAAATTAAATACTTAGGAATTCACCTAATAAAAGAAGTGAAAGATTTCCATAATGAAAACCATAGTCCAAATGGCCATTAAATGGGTCTGTGCTGACTCCAGAGAGCCTCTCTTAAGTCTTCTTTCTGCTCTCCCTATATGGCATTTTCTCCTTAAGCAAGAATGAAAATCATTAGTTTACCACACATTATGTTTTTCATTGATTCTTTTCTCCTTCATGCATCATCTGTATCCAGTTTTAGAAAATAACATAATACCATAAACAATGATTTTTATCATCTTTGTTATTGGCTACTCCAAGAGAAACGTGGAATTAGAAACAGTGCCTCCAAAGGACTTGAGAGAATATTTTCTCTAAGATAGAATATGGTATGAGCAATCTTAGTCTCTACTGCACCTAATAGATTTATCCATTAAATTCCAAGAATTGTAAACTTTAAAAGGTCAATATATAATGATAATTTCGTTTATACTGTATTTCATAATTTAAGTAATGTTCTATGCATTCTTTTCTGAGTTTGACCTTATCAGTGTTCAAATTTTGCCTTGTCTTATAGCTGAAGGAAAAATCAAAATAAATCAATTGATGAAAGAATTGACTACTGTTTTAGGTAAGTGAAAAGTCACTTAATTCTTTACACTGTTTTAATGATGTTTCTTACCATATTTTCATTCTTTTGTTAATTTTGCCATTTTAACCTTTCATTAATTAAAACATTTTCTTCTACCTGCTTTGGAACATCAGTGCTTTTGTAACAAATCTTTTTGTAACAGATGTTTGCACCAAATTTAAGATATTTCAAATTTTGAATAATAACTGTGATACCATCTATGTGTCTCTTTTTGTATCAATACTATGGTTTTTTTATACTAACTCTACAGTATATTTTGAAATCAGGTATTGTGATGCTTCTGGCATTGCTCTTTTTGCTCAGGATTATTTTTGGCTATTCTGGGTCTTTTGTGCTTCTATACAAATTTTAGAATTATTTTCTAGGTCTGTAAGAATGACATTGGTGTTTTGATAGGATTGATTGTGTCTATACTTTCAGAAGTATGACCATTTTAACAATATTAATTCTCCCCAACCATGAACATGGGAGGTCTTTCCATTTCCTAGTGTCTTCCTCAATTTCTTTCTTCAGCATTTAAAATTTTCATTATAGAGGTCTTTTACCTCCTTAATTAGGTTTATTCTTAGCTTTTGCAGGGTACCGGGGATCGAATTCAGAACCTCATGCTTGCCAGGCAGGCACTGTGCTGCTGAGCTAAAGCCCAGGCCCTACTATAAACTATTTTTGAGGCTACTGAAAATGAAGTTTTTACTACTTTTTCAGCCAGTTAATTATCATTGTAAAGAAAAGCTACCAAATTTTGTATGCCAGCTTTTACATCCTACCACTTTGCTGAATTTGTCAGTTCTAAGAGAATTTTGGTGGGTCTTTAGCATTGATCTACTTGTTTATGTTGCGCCCCTCTCCTCTGGCACCTGGCTTGTAGTTTTCTTTTCTTGGCATATACTTGATATTAGGGTAATAGTAGCCAGGTCCAAATTTGAAATATAATTTCTAACAAGCATTTACTATGTACATCTTTATGTATACTATACTTATGTATACTTTATGTATATTTAATAGTTAATTAATATAAGGCATGTAACCTAAATAAACACATCTTTATGTATACTATATGTATGTATACTATATATACTTATGTATACTTTATGTATATTTAATAGTTAATTAATATAAGGCATGTAACCTAAATAATTTTCTAAATGAAATTTATGTGCTTCATATTATGCAGCTACCAATATGACAACTTCAAAACTACCAGGAGAAATACTTAAATTTTTGTTTTTGTAAGAAAGGAACTTGGGTGGGGGAAGTAAATCAATGGAAGAGTCCCTGCCTAGCAGGCAAGAAGACTTGGTTTCAATCTCCAGCACTGCAAAGGGATGAAGAAGGAAAATAAAAAAGGAAACTAAGTTATTATTTACTTTACTTTTACCTGTTTACATAATTAAAGTACTAAATTTGAATTTTTTTCCTCATTGAGTTTATTGGTACATTTTAGGTATATAGTACATTTACATTCATCATTGGGATCTTGTACCATTACATAACAGGTCTTGGTTCTCATTTTTTCCCCTTGTCCCTGCCCTCCCTTCACCCCCTCCTCCCCTCCCCATTTACAAACACTTTATTTCCATTTTTGTATTTTCTCGTATATGTTTTTCACTTATTACCTTTCCCCTACCCTTCCCACTTTCCCTACACTTTTAGCCCTTTTCTTCCTATTTCACATTGTCAATTATATCATTTAGATCTTATATACCATTATAGTTTTTCACACCAGAGAAACTATTTGGTATTTACACATATGTGACTTATTTATTTCACTTAGGAGTATATCCTCAATATGTATCCATTTTCCTATGAATGAATCTAATTTCTCACTCTTTATGGCTGAGTAGTATTCCATTTTATAGAAAAACCACATCTTTATCCAGTTTCCAACTGATAGACAAATGGGCTGTTTCCAAGTTTTAGCTATTATCCAATTAGTGTATGAAGTCACTATTTTGTGTTCTTATCACCCTTTGTTTTTTTCTAGGAGAGCAGATAGATATCAGTGAGCTACAGAATACTTTGAAAGATATGAAAGTTGAATTCACAGATAGGGAATGTTCACATTTAATAAAAACTCTACCACTTGATGGTAACTATTTCAAATATATACAGTGCTTTTCTTCAAAGGGCTTTAGAGTACTTGATTTTCAGCTTTTCTTCAAAGTGGTACCAAAGTATTTAATCTTTTAAATCACTTTTTAAAAACTTTTTGAATTACTAGATATTTGCCAAAGAAAATCTAAGTCATTTATTTCTTATTAGTAAATAATAACTGTTTTTCTCATTCCTGCTAGTAGTTTGCTGTTGTCTTTGCTTGCATTAGCGTGTATGAGTACAGAAAGAAAATAAAAAGGAAATAGCAAAGGACATAAGGCCAAGATTAAAAAAAATAAATCATATGGGATATGTGTTTCAAAAGTTGCAAGCCAATAATCATTGCTTGTTGTGCAAGAGTGAAACAGATTTGTCTCATTAAAGAATTCTCCTGAGGAAATTAGATAAATTTCAGACAAAACCATAAATAAGTCTATCTTTTTAAAACTAAAAGATTGGGAGAACTTAGGCATCTTATTATTTAGGCAGATCTTTATTATTGTTCCCTAACCTCAATTATGTCTTTTTTAACAGCTGAAGGAAAAGTATATAAAAAAAGGTTGCTGGATGGTATAAAAACTATTAAAATGAGTGCAAATTGTGGTGAGAAAGCACATAAGATATGTTACTCTTTTTATTTATATGATGTCTTTTATTACATTAAAACTCTCACATATGTATATTCCCAGTATTTATGGATATTAGGTATATAATGCTATGGATATTATGTATATAATGCCATAGTTTCCTGGAAATTACCCACCTCATTTTACCATTTTCAGCATATTGATATGAGCAAAAAATATAGTCAGAGAATAAGATTTTACCCCTAGTTTTAACACTGACTCTCCTTATCCTCAGGAAGACCTAGTCCTCATGATTAAAATGATAACTGTAACACACATTAATTAATAAGGACTTTTGCATTTTATTTTCTTTTAAAAGTGTTTTTCTTTATACTACGGAGGAAAAGTTGATGTGAATAACCTGAATACATTTCTGGAAAATATGGAGATTCAGCTTTCACACAAAGAACTTGAAGATTTTTCACAAAACTTACCAGTTGATGGTGAGCATTATAGATAAATGTATTTCTTTGAGGACAGCTTTGATTTGACAGAATCCACAGATCAATGATAGTGCCTATGTGCTATCAATAGGACATTTTGAAAAGCTTGTAGCAAAAATCCTCCCCATTTTTTAATCCGAAGTCCATTAAATGTTTAAGAAAAATTGGTAAAATTGGGCAAAGAGCCCATTCTCAAGTTAAAGAATAAAGAGAAGGTAGAATAAGAAATATTTAATAGAAACATTAAATGGTACATGAAGAAAAAGAACTCCCTTTGATGAAGAACTATTAAAATTGATTCATAAGCCAGAGATGTAGCTCAGTGGTTCCGCTGCCTGCCTTGCAAGCACAAGGACCTGAGTTCGGTCCCCGGTACAAAAAAAAAAAAAAATTGATTCATAATTATTCAAAATATGTATATTTTGAATACATAGACTACTCTCCTGAAATAGACTAGCAGGATAGAGAAAAACATATAAGAAATTTTTAAAAGATATAGATGCAAACAATTAGCATAATAATACTATTATAATAAGATTTGAATTTTAAATATATTAATAAAATGAATATATTTCCAGAGGAAAAATAATTTACCAACACCTATTTATCAGGATATGAAAAAAGCTAGATTAATAATGGTAGTTGGAAAAAAAACTATCAACTCTTCCTTAGTACCCATAACTGCAGTAAGGGTGATAGGCCTTTAGTTTGAAAAGTAAATTTTTTCAAATCTTGCAGTAAGGGTGATAGGCCTTTAGTTTGAAAAGTAAATTTTTTCAAATCTTCAAGGAATTGTTTATTTTAATGCTATCTAAAGTGGTCTAGAGAGCTCTGACTTAAGACAAAAAAAGGAATAAAAACTCATCAAATTTTCCTTCCCTCTGATACATGAAGTGAATAACAAAAATAAAAGAGGAAAAATTCAGGAAAGAAAATTCAACACCAACCAAACAAAGCAGCCAACCTAATGCCATAAATTTTTTAAGACAAACAATGAAATAAAAAATTAGAGAGTAGAAGCAGCAGTACAACGAACCTAGGTTCCTCATTGATGAACTTTGACATTAAGTGAATTCTCACTAGAATGCCCAGATCTAGGGCAAAGCAATTTGAATAGGTAACTTTTTTCTCTCTCTTTTCACCTCTAGGAAGAGTAGAAAAGACTGCTAGAGAGAAATTAGTAAAAGAAAGGAAATTAACAATGTATATCATTCATTAATTAATGGAAGTAAAAGCTTCATAGTTATACGAAGAATGGGGAGTCACATGGGAAGTCCAAGAGCGTCATGTCTTGAACAAATCTGGGGTTTACTTAAATATTCTTACCAGCATTTATTCCCCTTTATTGAAGGTACAAGAGCAATGAACCCTATTGAATCATGAAATCAAACCTCAGGATAGCAGGTTTGAGTTTCCACACATTTCTCCTTCCTTAGATTACAGTGAAAATGAGTATAATCATTTTTTTCAAGTACTTCTCACAGTGCAAAGCAAACCGGTTTCAGATACCATAGAAAGGACAATAAAAAGCTACACTAACTGTTAGGAATAAAAGGAAGATGGGGCAAAGCTGCTAAAGCATAGCAAGATGAAAAGAAAGGACATGGGAACAATTTTAGCACTAACCCATAAAAGAAAAAATGAAAAAGAAAAAATGGAAGGAAGCAACATAAAATGGAAGGAAGATAACATATAAAAGATAAATACACCTTTCTAGTAGAAAACCCAAGGAAAACCAAAGTTTTTTTTTTTATAATTACTTCATACAACCAAACAATTTCAATAGATTCAATAAAATTAGAGTTAAAAAATGTAA